TACCTTAATCTGAGGTCTCACCACTCACTGTAACTTTCTGCTTCCTATTGCTTAGGCACTCCCTTATACACTCAAGCACTTTACCAGTTACTCCTGCCTGTCTCTCCAGCTTATGTACCAGCCTCTTATAGGGTACTGTGTCAAAGGCACTCCGACAATCCAAGAAAATGCAGTCTGCCCAGCCTTGTCTAGCTTGCTTAATCTTTGTCACCTGGCCGTAGAATTCTATTAAGCCTGTAAGGCAAGATTTACCCTCCTTGAACCCATGTTGATGGGTTGCCACGAAGCTCCATCTCTGCAGATGAGTTACTAGGTTTTTTCTCACGATCTTCTTCATCACCTTGCATGGTATACAAGTCACGGACACTGACCTGTAGTTCACTGCCTCTTGCCTGTCACCCTTTTTGTATATTAGGACCACATTAGCCGTCTTTCATATTTCTGGTAGGTCTCCCGTCTCCACTGACTTACTATACACTATGGAGAGTGGGAAGCAAAGTTCCTCTGCACACTCTTTCAATACCTATGGTGAGATCCCGTCTGGACCAACAGCCTTTCTCACATCCAGATCCAACAGGTGTCTCTTGACCTCATCTCTAGTAATTTCGAACCCTTCCAAGGCCACCCGGTTTACTGCCCCCTCTCCTAATGCAGTGACCTCACCTTGTTTTATTGTGAAGACCTCCTTGAACCTCTTGTTGAGTTCTTCACACACCTCTTTATCATTCTCTGCATACCTGTCCTCGTCTGTTCCAAGTTTCATTACCGGTTGTATTACACTGTTTCATTACACTGTTGTTTTCTTCCTGATGTGACTGTGTAGTAGCTTTGGTTCGGTCTTGGCATTGTTTGCTATAGCATTTTCATATTTTTTCTCTGCTTCTCTTCTCACACTAACATACTCATTCCTGGTTCTCTGGTATCTCTCTCTCTGCTTTCTGGTGTTCTGTTATTTTGGAAATATCTCCACGCCCTTTTGTTCAATTTTTTTGCTTCCATACATGTCCTATTAAACCATGGATTCTTCTTTTGCTTCTGGGATTTTTCCTTTTTGGCCGGGATAAACCCGTTTACTGTCTCGTGACACTTTTGGGTGACATAGTCCATCATGTCTTATACAGACTTAGCTCTGAGGTCTGTGTCCCATGGTAGTTTCCTTAGGAAACTTCTCATCTCTTGATAATTCCCCTTTCGGTATGCCAGCCTTTTGTTTCCTAGTTCTTTTTGGGGGGAGATAAATCCTAGCTCTACCAGGTACTCAAAGATCAATTCATTGTAATCACTCATTCCCATGGGTGCTCATTTAGGGTAAATATCAGATCAAGCATGGCTGGTTCATCTTCCCCTTTCATTCATTTTGGTTCCTTGATGTGTTGGCTTAGAAAGTTTCTTGTTGCCATGTCCAGCAGCTTAGCTCTCCATATATATGGTCCTCTATGTGGGTCTCTGTTCACCGAATAGATCTTCCTGTGGTTGAGGTCTCCCATGATTAGTAGTCCACATCCATTCCTGCTAGTGACAGAAGCTGCTCTCTATTATGTTAATGATGGCCATTGTGTTTCTATCATATTCCCATCTGGGTCTTCTGTCATTTGGTGGTAGATTATATATGACTACGACTATGACTTTTTGTCCTGTAGTTGCTATGGTACCGTTTATGTAATCATTGAAACCTTTGCAGCCCTGAATAACCAGCTCCCCAAAATTCCAGCCTTTTCTTACTAGCAGAGCTACCCCCCCCCAACCTGCTCTTCCTTTACTCTCTTTCCTCACAACACAGTAGTTCTGTGGAAACACTGCATTTGTTATGGTATTCTTTAGCTTAGTTTCTGTGAGTGCTATTATATCTGGGTTTTCTTCCAGTACCCGTTCTCCAATTTATTTTATTTCTAATCCCATCTATGTTAGGGTACATTGCCTTGAGACTCACTTTCTTCTGTTCCTTCTCATGTAGGGAACAGAACGTTCCCTACATGAGAACACTTGGTGAATATTTTGGTGATGGGGGAAGCTGTTCCATGGGTGTGAGGATTTGTGAGGTGGATAACAGGGTCTCAGAGGATATTGAAGTGAGGGCCAAGTGAAGGAGGGACAGGGAGTGTATGGGATGAAGGGGGAGGGAGGACAGGGAGGGAACGGGGGGAGGGGGGACATTGTGAGAGTAAGGTGAGGAGTAGCAGGGTGGGAATAGGGTGAGGGAGGAGGGAGAGTTGACTGAGCATTTGAGTGGGTGCAGGGAGTGTTAGGGGGTATGGGCGGTTTCTATGTAGAGTTGGGTGGTAGAGTTGCTTTCTCCCCTGGTGTTACTGGGTTGCTGGTTGTAGGTTCCTTCTGGTTTTCTCCTCTCGCCCTGCGCTTCTTTCTTGCTTCTTTTGCAATGGTTCTTTCCTCCCTCATCATGTCCCTCTGGAGGAATACATTTTTGAATTCTCCCAAATATTGCAGGTGGTTCCTCCTTGTTAGAATCTTCTCCTTTGTGGTCTCGTTTGCAAACACTATCTTTAACATGCGGTCTCTGCCCTTGTTGTATCAGCCTAACTTGGAAACCTTCTTAATGCTATGTTCTGCCTCTTTCATCTCTAGCCCCTTTAGTATTTCATTCACTGCCAATCTCTCCTTATCATTCCATTCTGTCCTATTGGAGACTTCCTGCTCTTTAATACCCACAGCTACTACTGATCTTTTTCTTTCCAGCAGCTGACTAGTGGACCTTGCTGCTTTCTTTGAGGTGGCATTGGCTTTTCCCTGTTCCCTTGGTATATCTTGCAGTTATGTTTGTCCCTGTTCCTACTATATCGTGATAAGGTATGTCAGGAGAGAGAGAGAGAAAGAGAGAGAGAGAGAGAGAGAGAGAGAGAGAGAGAGAGAGAGAGAGAGAGAGAGAGAGAGAGAGAGAGAGAGAGAGAGGTGAAAGTGAGAGAGATAGCAGGATGGCGAAAGTGAGAGATGGAGCGAGAGTTGAGATAGAAAGTGGGAGAGGTAGAGAAAGGAAGAGGATTGAGGGAGTGAAAGGGAGAAAGAGAGAGACAGAGAGATGGGAGAGCAAGAGAGACAGAGAGGGAGAGACAGAAATACAGTGTGAGTGATAGAGAGCGAGGGCGGGAGAGAGGGGGGTGAGAGTGATTAGGGAGAGAAGGGAGAATCAGTAGAAAGTGAGAGCTGAGAGAGAGAGATAGAGAGAGAGAGAGAGACAGAGAGACAGAGAGGAGAGAGAGAGAGAGGGAGAGAGAGACGGAGAGAGAGAGAGAGAGAGAGTAGACGAGATTAGAGAGACAGAGAGAGACAGAGAGAGAGAGAGAGAGAGAGAGAGAGAGAGAGAGAGAGAGAGAGAGAGAGAGAGAGAGAGAGAGGAGAGAGATGAGAGAGGGAGGGAGAGAGAGAGAGAGAGCGAGGGAAGAGTGTTAGAGGGTAGAGAGAGGGGGGGGGGGAGGGAGAGGAGGAGGGGGGCCGACAGTAGTATGGTTACATCCCTTACCTAGGTGTCAAATCCTGTTTGTGATACATTGGGATACATTAATGATTGTGCATGTACTCACCTAGTTGTGTTTGCGGGGGTTGAGCTCTGGCTCTTTGGTCCCGCCTGTCAATTGTCAACCAACTGTTAAATACAGTTGACACACACACAGTGCGTGCGTGCGTGTGTGTGTATGTGTGTGCGTGTGTGCATGTGTATGTGCGTGTGTGTGCACGTCTGCACGTGTGTGTGTGCGTGTGTGCACATGTGTGCACGTGTGTGCGCGTGTTTGTGTGTGTGGATGTATGTGTTTGTATGTTTCAGTGCATTTAAGAGTGTGAATGGGTTTGTGATGTTGTGTGTGTGTGTGTGTGTGTGAGATTGCGAGAGCGTGCATGGTTTTATGGGTGAGAGCCTTTGTGTGTGTGCCTTTAGCTTACAGCGGGGGAATGGGAGGTGTCTCAGGGACTAATACGTTATCCAGTTCCCAAGTGAGCTCACGAGTGGGGTTTCTTAAATGTTTCCTTCACTATCAAGTTTACTATTAAATTCAATTATTGCATGAGAATGCATTAGTGATTACAATATGATATTATATAAACCTTGCACACTGTTGAGACATCAAGAGGCCCTTACCAGTCCCCACAAGCACCTCCTCTCCACAAGCACAACTAGGCAAGTTTTTCCTGCGGGCCGCTCCTGACCTGTCCTCCACACTGCGTAACCTGGTGGCCTGGTGCTGGGGATTTTTCTCTGTTTAACACAAAAGTTTTAGTGATATCACTGCATTTTTTTCCTATATGTGGTTATACACTTTGTGATAACCTAGATCCGTGATCCAACACTGTAATCCTAATAAGCCCGAATATATCGAGTATTATTGCGGAGCGCACATGCCCACAACCCTCCCACGCGACTGACTGACTGAGTCAGAGAGAGAGAGAGTGTGTGTGTGTGTGTGTGTGTGTGTGTGTTCACCTAGTTGTGCTTGCGGGGGTTGAGCTCTGCTCTTTCGGCCTGCCTCTCAACTGTCAATCAACTGCTTAGCAACTACTTTTTTTTCCCCACACCACACACACACAGGCAGTGTGTGTGTGGTGTGGGGATTTGTCTGGGCATTTTAATAATGATACTTCCTTACTTTACCCCCCCCCCTTCTTTAACTCAAACTCTGCACAGAAGTCCTCATTCTGTGTATAATCTGGGGAATACATAATACTTTCCATGACTAAGTTACGGAAGCATGAAGCCTCACATGGCAAGATTAAGTTCAAGAGTAGCAAGATATTCGAAGATCTAAAACATGTTTCAAAGATCAATTGATATGTCTATGGGGACATATCAATTGAGATACAAATGAACGTAAAGTTATCATCAGGACTGAAGAAACTGCAGAAGGCCTACTGGCCCATACCAGGCAGCTGCTATTTATACCCACCCAAACTCACTCATATACGTGTCCATCCTAAGCTTGAAACAACCCATCGTTTCCACGTGTATGATGTCACCAGAAAACGTATCTGTGTTTTTGTACAAGACAATTTACCTGTTTGCGCACAGTGCACCGTAGCTGGCGGGGGTGGAGCTCCCATCTGGGGCAGGAGGCTGACGGTGAAGACTGAGGCAGCGTTGGTCTCCTGCCACACCACCGTCACCGTGCCACGACCTGCCTCTCTCACCTCCACCAGCACGTCTGTAAGGTTGTTGTTGTTAAAGATTCGCTACCTGGAACAAAGTTCCAAGAAGCACGGGCTATGGTGAGCCCGTATTGGTGTCTGTAAGGGTTTAGGTAGTGCTGAGGCCCACTCATGGGTGAGTTACTGGGGGTGGGGCAGTGCTGGGGTCCTCTCATGAGTGAGTTACTGGGGGTGGGGCAGTGCTGGGGTCCTCTCATGAGTGAGTTACTGGGGGTGGGGCAGTGCTGGGGTCCTCTCATGAGTGAGTTACTGGGGGTGATGGAGTGCTAAGGTCCTCTCATGGGTGAGTTACTGGCGGTGAGAGAGTGCTGAAGTCCTCTCATGGGGTGGGTTACTGGGGTGAGGGAGCGCTGAGGTCCTCTCATGGGTGAGTTACTGGGGGTGAGGTCCTCTAAGAAGTGAGAGACCATCACTTTTTTTTTTATCTGTATTTAATAAAATACAATATAAATCATATATACATAAATTGTACAAGGCAATACTACATCACTGGTCGTGGTTGGTCCTCTCACGAGTGAGAGACCATCACTGGTCGTGGTTGGTGATGAAACACAAGTGACTGTATCCGGGGATGAAACTCTATAAGCCATGGTTGGTGTCATGACATCAAACATGACTACTTAACAAGTAGTTAGGTTTGAAGAGGTGGCTGTGTGGTCATTGTTGGTATTGAAACACAAGTGATCATGCTTGGTAACGAACCACTGATAGTCGTGGCTAACGATTGAACTATACTGGTGGTAGTTGAGCACTCACCAGCCACGGAGACGAGAGACGAGAGGGTCAGGTCATCTTGGGTCAGTAGGAGCTGGAGGTCAGTCGCCAGCCCGCCGTTATCTGGGTCCTGGAGACTCTCTAGGCCCCGGACAACACATCCGCTACTATTCGGATGACAAATGTTTTTTAAACTATATCTGCTCCTGTCCGCATGACACGAATGTCCTTTAAACTACATTTGTTACTGTCTGGATGACAGGAATGTCCTTTAAACTACAAAGTTATGTGTAACACAACATTCATTTACTTTATATATCATGCAGTCTTCATAGGTGTAAATGAAATTAATGTTATTGTAACACTGTAAAGTATCAAAGTAAGCAAACCCCGACCTGGGAGGTGCTGTGGTGGGTGTCGTTGGGTGTAAAAGTTATCATTTGCACTTGGGGAAAGTCTGTAGTAATAATATTATCAATAATAATAATAATAATAATAATAATAATAATAATAATTATAATAATTGATTGAAGTAAGAGTGCAAAAAACATTCTTACATACATACACGTGATCCTGTGGTCCTGGGTGCCGGAGAGAAGGAATGGGCAGAATTTCTTGCACCCTATGCCCCTGTTACCTAGCAGTAAATAGGTACCTTGGAGTTAGTCAGCTGTCACGGGCTGCTTCCTGGTGTGTGTGTGTGTGTGTGTGTGGCGTGAGGGGAAAAACAGTAGTGGTTAGAAACAGTTGGGAGGCGGAGCGAAAGAGCAGAGCTCAACCCCTGCAAGCATAACTAGGTGAATACATAGTCCCCTGAGTCCCCCCCCCCCCCACAGGGACACCTGCGGGGAGACTTGAGACACTCTTCTCAGGGAACCCTGGAGCTCCCTCAGGGACCCATGGGGCACTCTCAGGGACCCCCTGAGTCTCCCTCAGGGACCCCCAGGGTCTCCCTCAGGGGTCCTCATGAGACTCCCTCAGTGATCCCTAGGCTCCATCTGGGATCCCTGGGTCTACCTCAGGGACCACTGTTGCTCTCTCAGGGACCCCTGAGGCTCCCTCAGTGACCCCCATGAGGCCCCCTCAGTGACCCCCACCAAGCAACTTATTCGCAGCAAGATGCGTTCGTGTCTGCCACCAACCCAACGTTACCCCCAGAAACACCGGGCCATATCCAGCACCCAGCCTGAGGTATGTGTTACCTTAGTGTGGTGAGAGGGAGTGTTACCTCAGTGTGGTGTGAGGGAGTGTTACCTTAGTGTTGTGAGAGGGAGTGTTACCTTAGTGTGGTGTGAGGGAGTGTTACCTCAGTGTGGTGAGAGGGAGTGTTGCCTCAGTGTGGTGTGAGGGAGTGTTACCTTAGTGTGGTGAGAGGGAGTGTTACCTTAGTGTGGTGTGAGGGAGTGTTACCTTAGTGTTGTGAGAGGGAGTGTTACCTTAGTGTGGTGTGAGGGAGTGTTACCTTAGTGTTGTGAGAGGGAGTGTTACCTTAGTGTGGTGTGAGGGAGTGTTACCTTAGTGTTGTGAGAGGGAGTGTTACCTTAGTGTGGTGAGAGGGAGTGTTACCTCAGTGTAGGGAGAGGGAGTGTTACTTCTGCGTGGTGAGAGGGAGTGTTGCTTCAGTGTGGTGAGAGGGAGTGTTACCTTAGTGTGGTGAGAGGGAGTGTTACCTTAGTGTGGTGAGAGGGAGTGTTACCTCATTGTAGGGCGAGGGAGTATTACTGTTGTGTGGTGAAAGAGAGTGTTACCTCAGTGTGGTGAGAGTTAGAGTTACCACAGTGTAGTGTTAGATGTTGTTTCCTCAATGTTGTGAGAGGGTGTGTTTCCTCAGTATGGTAAGAGAGAGTATTACCTCAGTGTTGTGAGAGCGAGTGTTACCTCAGTGTGGTGAGAGGGAATGTTACCTCAGTGTCGTGAGAGGAAGTGTTACTTCAGTGTGGTGAGAGGGAATGTTACCTAAGAGTGGAATGAGTAAGAGTTACCTCAGTGTGATGAGAGGGGAGTTACCTTAGTGTGATGAGAGGGAGTGTTACCTCAGTGTAGTGTGAGGGAGTGTTACCTCAGTGAGGTGAGAGGTAGAGGTATCTCAGTGTAGTGTGAGGGAGTGTTAGCTCAGTTTAGTGTGAGGGAGTGTTACCTCAGTGAGGTGAGAGGTAGAGGTACCTCAGTGTAGTGTGAGGGAGTGTTACTTTTGTGTGGTGAGAAGGAGTGTTATCTCAGTGTAGTGAGAGGGAGTGTTACCTCAGTGTAGTAAGAGAGAGAGAGCGTTTCCTCAGTGAGGTGAGAGGGAGAAATTTTTCAGTGTAGTGAGAGAGAAACTCATACATCAGTAAAGCGAGAGGGAGTGTAACATCAGTGTAGTGAGAGGGAATGTTACCTCAGTGTAGTGAGAGGGAGTATTACCTCAGTGTGGTGAGAGGGAGAGTTACCTCAGGGTGGTGAGAGGGAGAGTTACCTCAGGGTGGTGAGAGGGAGTGTTACCTCAATATAGTGGGAGTGAGTGTTACCTCAGTGAAACGAGAGATGTTTCCTCAGTGAAAGTAAAAGGAGTATTACCTCAGTGTAGGGTGAGAGAATGTTACCTCTGTGTGGTGAGAGACAGTGTTACCTCAGTGTGGGTGAGAGGTAGTGTTACCTCAATGTGGCGAGGGAAGGTTACCTCAGAGTGGTGAGAGTGAGTGTTACCTCAGTGTGGTGAGAGAACGTCACCTCAGTGTGTTGAGAGGGAGTCTTACCTCAGTGTGGTGAGAGGGAGAGTTACCTTAGTGTGGTGAGAGGGAGTGTTACCTCAGTGTGGTGAGAGGAAGTATTACCTAAGTGTAGTAGGAGGGAGTGTTACCTCAGTGAAGTGAGAGGGAGTGTTACCTCAGTGTGGTGAGTGGGAGTGTTATCGCAGTGTTATGAGAGAGAGTGTTACCTTAATGTGGTGAGAGGGAGTGTTACCTAAGTGTTGTTAGAGGGAGAGTTACCTTAGTGTGATGAGAGAGAGATTTCCCTCAGTGGGATGAGAGGGAGTGTTACCTCAGTGAATTGAGAGGGGAGTGTTTCCTCAGTGAGGTGAGAGGGAGTGTTACCTGAGTGGGGTGAGAGGGAGAGTAACCTCAGTTTAGTGTGAGGGAGTGTTACTTCTATTTGGTGTGAGAGAAGGTTTCCTCAGTTTAGTGAAAGGGAGTGTTACCTTAGTGCGGTGAGAGGGATTGTTACATCAGTGTGTTGAGACGGAGTGTTACCTCAGAGTCGTGAGAAGTGGTACCTCAGTGTAATTTGAGGGAGTGTTACCTCAGTGAGGTGAGAGGGAGAGTTTCCTCAGTGTCGTGAGAAGAAGTGTTACTTCAGTGTGGTCAGAAGAAGTGTTACCTCAGTGTCGTGAGTGGAAGTGTTACCTCAGTGTCGTGAGTGGAAGTGTTACCTCAGTGAAGTGACAGAGAGTGTTACCTCAGTGTGGTGAGAGGGAGCGTTATCTCAGTGTGGTGAGAGGGAGTGTTACCTCAGTGTGGTGAGAAGGGGTGTTACCTCAGTTTGGTGAGAGCGAGAGTTACCTCAGTGTGATGAGAGGGAGGTTTTCCTCAGTGTCATGAGAGGGAGTGTTACCTCAATGTAGTGTGGGGGAGTGTTACCTCAGTGTAGTGAGAAGGAGTGTTACCTCAGCGTGGTGAAAGGGAGTATTACCTCAGTGTTGTGAGCGGGAGTGTTACCTCAGTGTTGGGAGAGGGAGTGTTACTTCTGTGTGATGAGAAGGAGTGTTACCTCATGTGGTGAGAGTGAGTGTTACCTCAGTGTGGTCAGAGGGAGAGTTACCTCAGTGTTGTGATTGGGAGTGTTACCTCAGTATAGTGAGGGGGAGTGTTACCTCAGTGTGGTCAGAGGGAGAGTTACCTCAGTGTAGTGATTGGGAGTGTTACCTCAGTATAGTGAGAGGGAGTGTTACCTCAGCGTGGTGAGAGGTAGTGTTACCTCAGTGAGGTGAGAGGGAGTGTTACCTCACTTTAGGGAGAGGGAGTGTTACCTCAGTGTGTTGAGAGGGAGTGTTTCCCCAGTGTGGTGAGAGGGAGAGTTACCTCAGTGTGGTGAGAAGGAGTGTTACTTCATGTGGTGACAGGGTTTAATACCTCAATGAGTTTAGAGTGAGTGTTTCCACTGTGTGCTGAGAGAGTGTGTCACCTCAGTGAGGGGAGAGAGAGTGTTACCTCAGTGGGGTGAGAGGGAGAATTACCTTACTGTAGTGTGAGAGAGTGTTACTTGTGTGTGGTGAGAGGGAGTGTTATCTCAGTGTAATGAGAGGGAGTGTTACCTCAGTGTAGTGAGAGAGAGCTTTTCCTCAGTGAGGTGAGAGGGAGTGTTATCTTAGTGTGGTGAGAGGGAGTGTTACCTCAGTGTGGTGAGAAGGGGTGTTACCTCAGTTTGGTGAGAGCGAGAGTTACCTCAGTGTGATGAGAGGGAGGTTTTCCTCAGTGTCATGAGAGGGAGTGTTACCTCAATGTAGTGTGGGGGAGTGTTACCTCAGTATAGTGAGAAGGAGTGTTACCTCAGCGTGGTGAAAGGGAGTATTACCTCAGTGTTGTGAGCGGGGGTGTTACCTCAGTGTTGGGAGAGGGAGTGTTACTTCTGTGTGGTGATAGGGAGTTTTACTTCTGTGTGATGAGAAGGAGTGTTACCTCATGTGGTGAGAGTGAGTGTTACCTCAGTGTGGTCAGAGGGAGAGTTACCTCAGTGTTGTGATTGGGAGTGTTACCTCAGTATAGTGAGGGGGAGTGTTACCTCAGTGTGGTCAGAGGGAGAGTTACCTCAGTGTAGTGATTGGGAGTGTTACCTCAGTATAGTGAGAGGGAGTGTTACCTCAGCGTGGTGAGAGGTAGTGTTACCTCAGTGAGGTGAGAGGGAGTGTTACCTCAGTTTAGGGAGAGGGAGTGTTACCTCAGTGTGTTGAGAGGGAGTGTTTCCCCAGTGTGGTGAGAGGGAGAGTTACCTCAGTGTGGTGAGAAGGAGTGTTACTTCATGTGGTGACAGGGTTTAATACCTCAATGAGTTTAGAGTGAGTGTTTCCACTGTGTGCTGAGAGAGTGTGTCACCTCAGTGAGGGGAGAGAGAGTGTTACCTCAGTGGGGTGAGAGGGAGAATTACCTTACTGTAGTGTGAGAGAGTGTTACTTGTGTGTGGTGAGAGGGAGTGTTATCTCAGTGTAATGAGAGGGAGTGTTACCTCAGTGTAGTGAGAGAGAGCTTTTCCTCAGTGAGGTGAGAGGGAGTGTTATCTTAGTGTGGTGAGAGGGAGTGTTACCTCAGTGTGGTGAGAAGGGGTGTTACCTCAGTTTGGTGAGAGCGAGAGTTACCTCAGTGTGATGAGAGGGAGGTTTTCCTCAGTGTCATGAGAGGGAGTGTTACCTCAATGTAGTGTGGGGGAGTGTTACCTCAGCGTGGTGAAAGGGAGTATTACCTAAGTGTTGTGAGCGGGAGTGTTACCTCAGTGTTGGGAGAGGGAGTGTTACCTCAGTGTTGGGAGTGGGAGTGTTACTTCTGTGTGGTGTTAGGGAGTTTTACTTCTGTGTGATGAGAAGGAGTGGGATGTCAGTGTGGTGAGAGTGAGTGTTACCTCAGTGTTGTGAGAGGGAGTGTTACCTCAGTGTGGTCAGAGGGAGAGTTACCTCAGTGTAGTGATTGGGAGTGTTACCTCAGCGTGGTGAGAGGGAGTGTTACCTTAGTGTCGTGAGAGAGAGTGTTATCTCAGTGTGGTGAGAGGGAGTGTTACCTCAGTGTGGTGAGAGGGAGTGTTACCTCAGCGTGGTGAGAGGGAGAGTTACTTCAGTGTTGATTGAGGGAGTGTTACTTCTGCGTGGTTTGACGGAGTGTTACCTCAGTGTAGTGAGAAGGAGTGTTACCTCAGTGTAGTGAGAGGGATTGTTATCTCTGTGCGGTGACAGGAATTGTTACATCAGTGTTGTGAGAGGGATTATTACCTAAGTGAAGCAAGAGGAAGTGTTACCTCAGTGTAATGTAAGGAAGTGTTACCTCAGTGTAATGCAAGGAAGTGTTACCTCAGTGAGGTTAGTGGGATAGTTTCCTCAGTGTGGTGAGAGGGAGAGTTACCTCAGTGTCGTGAGGGGGAGTGTTACCTCAGTTTGGTCAGAGGGAGAGTTACCTCAGTGTAGTGACAGGATGAGTTACCTCATTGTGGTTAGAGGGAGTGTTACCTCAGTGTGGTGAGAGGGAGAGTTACCACAGTGTGATGAGGGTGAGTGTTATCATGGTGTAGTGAGAGGGAGAGTTATCTCAGTGTAGTGAGAGGTAGTGTTACCTCAGTGATGTGAGAGGGAGTGTTACCTCAGTGATGTGAGAGGTAGTGTTACCTCAGTGATGTGAGAGGGTGTGTTACGAACCCGACAACATCGTCGGAGTAGGAAGTAGTGACGTCAGCGCCATCTGTAAGTCGGCTCTCTAAACCTCCACCGGTTGATTGGACGTAATACGGACAATGCCATCTGGTGGTGTCTGTCTAGTACCTGCAAATGTCTCACGATTCCTGCCTTGGTCAGCCAGAGGGGGTCATTGTGAGTGACCTCTGGTGAGGTGGCGAATCAAGACCTGCGCCACCTAGTGTGTGCTACAGAGCACAATGTCAACTTCCCCTGTGGGTTAGTGGTATTTCCTAGTTTCACCAGTATCGGCAAGGTCATTGATGTCGTTTTTGTGTCCTCGAAAGTGACGTCTGGGGCCAGCGGTACTGGAGAGGGCAGTTCATCTTGGGTAGTCCACGTTCTCCCTACATGGTCCTGGAAACGACCAAGTAGGCCGCCACCGATGAAGCAGTGTTGTAGCTGCTAGTGATTTAGTGTTGAAAGATATCGGCGTACCTTTGGGACTGGCTTAGGAAGAGAGACTGACCTCAGGGAGGTGCCTGTTAAGTAGTGCGGCCAGCTGGTCGCTAGAGACTGCTGCCAGGGGATCGCTTCCCTTGTATTGGTTTGTGACCCCGCTCAGCGTGAGGCTGAGGTACTCTGCCAGCGAGTAGCTGGAGAGCGGTCGTTGGGGTTAAGGCACTTCATATGACACTGTCAGTTGGCTGGCCCACGTACAGGTGAACTCGCCGGTGTTCTTCCCAGTAAGGTTGGATACGCTACTGGACAGTGAAGAAACACTGCGGATTGATGAACTCTGCACGTGAGCACGTTTGATATCCTGAGCGAAAGGATTGTATATAGGTGTAGAAATAGCCTATCTGTTCTTTATATATATATATATATATATATATATATATATATATATATATATATATATATATATATATATATATATATATATATATATAATATAATATATATATATATATATATATATATATATATATATATATATATATATATATATATATATATATATATATATATATATATATATATATATATATATATATATATATATATATATATATATATATATATATATATATATATATATATATATATATATATATATATATATATATATATATATATATATATATATATATATATATATTATATATATATATATATATATATATATATATATATATATATATATATATATATATATATATATATATATATATATATATATATATATATATATATATATATATATATATATATATATATATATATATATATATATTAACGGTGGTGGAAAAAGATATAATACATTGACGAAAGTACAGTGTTTTTCATCCCCTCCACTTTATATTGCACTGTATAGCTACTTTCTTGAAAGCGTACTACCGACTCGGGGTCGGATACAACACATAGGTTCCTCCAACTAGAACCCGGTTACTGGTCCTCAGTTGGGTGAGAGGGAGTGTTACCTCAGAGTGGTGAGAGGGAGTGTTACCTCAGTGTGGTGAGAGGGAGTGTTACCTCAGAGTGGTGAGAGGGAGTGTTACCTCAGTGTGGTGAGAGGGAGACTTACCTGAGCGGAAGACAGTCTCCAGGGCTGCTCTCCAGAGCCTGGCTGCGGTCATGACCATTGAGAACGAGGGCGGTGTACCCGTCATCAGCCCCATCCTCAGTCTCTTCGTCAGCGCCTTTCTCAGCCGCTACAGTCACTGTCATGATCTTTGGCCTGGCCCCCGCCGGCCCCTCTCCTACACTCTCTATCTCCACGCCTTCAATCTTCACACCTGACCAGATATATATACCTGAATTTACCCGAGGGGCCACTTTAGAAGCCTCGGGCTTGTCAAATTTCAAAACTTCAAAACCTTTCAAAATTTCAAAACTATTTGAGTGAACTCAAGAATTTCATTTACAGAAAACTAAATTCTTCATACTGATTGATTGAAAACGTGATTTGCATATACCTTTTTATATTTTAAGCTAACGATTTATTGTACAATAAAGTTAACGCTTGTGAATATTCTCTGCTTAGGACAATGGTTCACTTGCATGTTTACATGTAAAATATTACTGGAACCGTAATATGTTTTTTAGACCATTATAAATATCTAGAAATACTATCCAGGTGGTGAGGCGGGGTTTCGTCTCGTGGTGGTGGATTTACTCTGTGAACGGGCTGAGTATACCATATATACGCTATACATATCCAGTAAGGGTCCCTGTAGTATAGTCGTGTTTGTTCTCGACATACAATCGAGAATTGCGGGTTCGAATCTCGGGTGGGGACAGAAATGGTTAGGCGCATTGCCTATCACCTAATGCACATGTCAACCTAACAGTAAGTAGGTACTCAGGAGTTAGTCAGCTTATTGTGGGGGTTGCATCCCGGGTGGGGTCAGTAATTCCACCTCGATATAAGCCATGTATACATGTATATACATGTATAAACTGTATGAATACACTCTGGTTGCCTGTCCCCAAACACAATGAATTATAAATAATAAATGATTATATTAAATTTCAGATAGTGAGCATTATGAGATATAGCGCGTGATTACCGCGGAGTTGTCAATGAAATGAAACATTAATAAAGACAGAGAGGAAAATCAAACCATCTAAGAAATGAGATGGAGATGGAGGTGGAAATATCGATAGAGGCGGAGATAGATAGGCAGGTATATAGATGAAGACACTCAGGTATATATATATATATATATATATATATATATATATATATATATATATATATATATATATATATATATATATATATATATATATATATATATATATATAAACTGAAAACTCACACCCCAGAAGTGACTCGAACCTATACTGCCAAGAGCACTCTGCTGGCGTACAGGATTCCTTAATCGCTCGACCAATACGACCGGACAAAAGAGGATGGTAGCCGATGTTGGTCGAGCGGTTAAGGGATCCTGTACGCCAGCAGAGTGCTCTTGGCAGTATAGGTTCGAGTCACTTCTGGGGTGTGAGTTTTCAGTTGCATATAGTCCTGGGGACCATTCAGACTTGTTCGCATTTGTGTTCCTCCCGTGTGCCCCAAAGAATGAGGTGATTTAATAAAATACCATGCCCAAGATTACCAACCGAGTGCCGGCGGGGGGATGGAAATAGCCTCTGCTACCATCCTCTTTTGTCCGGTCGTGTTGGTCGAGCGGTTAAGGGATCCTGTACGCCAGCAGAGTGCTCCTGACAGTATGGGTTCGAGTCACTTCTGGGATGTGAGTTTTCAGTTGCACATAGTCTTGGGGACCATTCAGGCTTGTTCGCATATATATATATATATATATATATATATATATATATTAAAAGGATGCCGACCTTCATAAAATTCATTCTTGCCCTGGCAAGGTGAGGACACCCCATATAAGAGACATTGGGAAGTGTGATATAAATGTTATGATGAAGTCTCTGGACCAAGGTATAGCCCCCTAGATTGGAAATATACAATGGTAATCCATATCACCAAAAAAGGCAGAAAGAACTCAGCATGGAAACTAACGTCCGATCTGCTTGACATCACACATGTGCAAGCTCATGGAGAGAATCCTATGGGAGGGGGGGATCATTCACCATCTCACAGTGAACAACCTTGTATAATCAACATAGTTTTGTTAAGAATTGATCCTGTCTTACAAATCATCTCACATTTCTGGAAGCGGTAACCAGCTACTCAGACAAAGGACTTCCGGTAGATATAGCTTACATGGACTTTGCTAAAGCTTTTGATAAAGTACCACATGAAAGACTGACAAGGAAATTACAGGCACATGGAATAAATGGGAAAATACCGGAATAGATAAAACAATGACTAAAACAGAAAACAAAGGGTCGTGCAAATGGGAATGAATTTGGCTTGGGAGATGTGCTAAGGAGGGTGCCACAGGGGTCCATTTTGGGGCCAACCCTTTTTGTCATATACATCAATGATATAGATTAAAATATTTCAAACCACATCATCATATTTGCAGATGACACTAAGATCTACGGTAAAGTGGGAAGTGAAAGTGATACTGAGACCTTTCAAAGAGATCTTCATGAACTCCACAAATGATCAGATGAATGGCAGATGCAATTTAACGTTGAAAAAATGTAAGACTTTTCATGTGAGACATAACAACCCACGCCACAACTATCATATCAAGAACATCGCCTTGTGGCACACTGAGGAAGAAAAAAGACCTGGGAGTTAGAACCCACATTGAAATTGCTCAACAAGTGGGAGCAGCAGTAAAAATAACCACCCAAACACTCGGAACAATCAAACAAATCTTTGACATCAACGAATGATTATTCAACTGTGTTAATATCTGGTGCGCTCTCACCTGGAGTACTGTATCCAGGCATGGAAACCTCATCTTCAGAAGGATATAGCTGCTCTGGAGAAAGTGCAATGCCGGGCAATAAAAATTATTACAGAGCTAAGTCAACTCTCATGTGAGGTACAGTTGAGAGCAACAGGGCTAACAACACCTCAAACCAGGCATGACAGGCGGATCTCATCGAAACTTTTGAAATACTGAACAATTTGGAGGATGTCGATACGAACAATTTCTTCGAAAGATCAGATGTAACACAAACAAGGAGCAACAGTGTCAAGTTCAACAAGCCACCATGTAACACAAACAAGGAGCAACGGTGTCAAGCTCAAGAATCAACAAAGTAACACATACAAGGGGAAACGGTGTCAGGTTCTACAAGCCACAATGTAACACAAACAAGGAGCAACGGTGTAAGCTCAACAAGCCACAAAGTAAAACAAACAAGGAACAACGGTGTCAAGCTCAACAAGCCACAATGTAACACAAACAAGGAACAACGGTGTTAAGTTCAACAAGCCACAATGTAACACAAATAAGGAGCAATGGTGTAAGCTCAACAAGCCACAAAGTAACACAAACAAGGAACAACGGTGTTAAGTTCAACAAGCCACAATGTAACATAAACCAGGATCACCAGTATCAAGTTCAACAAGCTATATTGGTACACAAACAAGGAGCAAGGGTGTCAACCTCAACACGCCACAATGTAACTTAAATAAGAACCAACGGTGAAAGCTCAACTAGCTACACTATAGCACAAATAAGGAGCAACGGTGTAAGCTCAACAAGTCCCATTGCAACACAAACAAGGAGCAACGGTGTCAAGCTCATTAAGCCACAAAGTAACACAAACAAGGAACAACGGTGTAAAACTCAGCAATCCATAATGTAACACAAACAAGGAGCAACAGTGTCAAGCTTAACAAGCCAGAATGTAACACAAACAAGGAACAATGGTGTCAAGCTAACAGTCTCCGTGGTGTAGTGGTAAGACACTCGCCTGGCGTTCCGCGAGCGCTATGTCATGGGTTCGTATCCTGGCCGGGGAGGATTTACTGGGCGCAATTCCTTAACTGTAGCCTCTGTTTAACGCAACAGTAAAATGTGTACTTGGATGAAAAAACGATTCTTCGCGGCAGGGGATCGTATTCCAGGGACCGTAGGATTAAGGACTTGCCCGAAACGTTACGCGTACTAGTGGCTGTACAAGAATGTAACAACTCTTGTATATATCTCAAAAAAAAAAAAAAAAAAAAAAAAAAAAAAAAGCTCAACAAGCCACAATGTAACACAAACAAGGAACAATGGTGTCAAGCTCAACAATTTACAATGTAACACAAACAAGGAACAATGGTGTCAAGCTCAACAATTTACAATGTAGGACTGTGAACAGTAGATACTTCATCACCCACAGGGTTATTAACAATGGAACCGCCTACCCGCCGAAGTAAAAAAAAAAAGGAGAAAATATTTCTGCCACTTGAAATCATGCTGGAGAAAGTCCCAGAAACAAAGGGAGTACATTTGACAAGCCACAGGCCTCTTGCCCAAATCGAGGCACTAGAAATATGGTAACGCTCAGGTAAAGCCAGGTAAAGTATCCTAGCGTTAACTAACTTTGCCAGTGTGACTGAAGAAGGTGTTTGCTGGTCCTGAAGGAGTACTGTACGAGCTGCGACACATCGATGACCTCGCTGGCGTAGGTGGCTGCTGCCTGGACGCCTGTGAAGTAATAGTGACATTGTTGCTGCGGGCACGACACTACCCCAGACGTCTCCAGTACCCATGGTGCCCCAGGCTCCTGCTTCCAGCTGCCACTCACAGCTCCTCTGTGTGGAGACTTCTCTCCTGAGGGGACGTCTACAAGTGGCAAAGTGGTAGCTTTCTGCTGGGATTCGAGCCACAACTGAACCTGGTAGGTTGTGTTGGGCTGTGGTGTCCAGGCCGCCTCCACCACACTGGCACCTCGCTGGCTTGACACTACCACCACACCTACACACACACACAAGCCACAGTCAGTGTTACATTGTGGCACACACCTCACTCCTCTCACCTCTCACCCGTCTTTAACGGAATCCAACACTACGTTAAAAATGTGACCTATTTGTAAACATTAATGCCCCTAATATTGACGAGTTGCTTGGGGTCATACTGCTCTGGCTAAGCATCATGTTTTATACGTTTCTGGTTAAAAAAAAAAAATACGCAAAGGAACCGCCCTAACCGAACTTTCTGAGCTTCCTCAGGAAGTTCAGAAGTTCATTTAGAGTTAAAAAACCCATTATCCCCCCATTAGTGTGGGTAATCTAATAGACTCGAACACACCCATTACCGCCATAAATGTGGGAACTCTAATAGACTCGAACTCACCCATAAGTGTGGACATTCTAATAGACTCGAACTCATCCATTACCCCCATACGTGTGGACATTCTAATAGACTCGAATACACCCATTACCCCCATAAGTGTGAGCATTCTAATAGACTTGGACACACCGATTATACCCATAAGTGTGGACAATAATACACTCGGACACACCCATTATCCCCATAAGTGTGAGCACTCTAATAGACTCGGACACATTCATTATGCCCATTAGTGTAGGCTCTCTAATAGACTCGAAAACACCGATTAAACTTACTTTGGAACCTGAGCCCATTACTGAACGCTAATAGAACCGATGAATCAGTAGCGTCTCTCGCGTCAACAAAGATTGAGAAGTCCATTAGGTAATAGGGCTGGGTGCTGGCACACGGCATGGAGCAGTGGATGATCCCCTCTCCTGTTGTGTCTGGCTCGGGGTGCAGGTCACCAGGACACACTATCTGAAGAGCCAAGTTGGTGAATACGAAGGTTGTGGTGAAGGTGAGGTCAGGGTCAGGTGTGTGACCTCCTGGTAGCCTGAGGCAGGTGTAGAGGCCTTCTCCTTCCTGGTGACCAACTCGCGCTATGGTTGCCTCCTCCACCTCACCTGTAAACAATCACAGCAGCGGGTTAGACAACAATCACCCCTGCGGGTTAGACAACAATCACCCCTGCGGGTTAGACAACAATCACTCCTGCGGGTTAGACAACAATCACTCCTGCGGGTTAGACAACAATCACCCCTGCGGGTTAGACAACAATCACATCAGTGGATTTAACAACAATCACAAGCAGCGGGTAAGACAACAATCACAGCAGTGGGTTAAACAACAATCATCCCAGCGGGTTAGACAACAATCACAACAATGGGTTAGACAACAATCACAACAGTGGGTTAGACAACAATCACAACAGCGGGTTAGACAACAATCACAACAATGGGTTAGACAACAATCACAACAGTGGGTTAGACAACAATCACAACAGTGGGTTAGACAACAATCACAACAGTGGGTTAGACAACAATCACAACAGTGGGTTAGACAACAATCACAACAGTGGGTTAGACAACAATCACAACAGTGGGTTAGACAACAATCACAACAGTGGGTTAGACAACAATCACAACAGTGGGTTAGACAACAATCACAACAGTGGGTTAGACAACAATCACAACAGTGGGTTAGACAACAATCACAACAGTGGGTTAGACAACAATCACAACAGTGGGTTAGACAACAATCACAACAGTGGGTTAGACAACAATCACAACAGTGGGTTAGACAACAATCACAACAGTGGGTTAGACAACAATCACAACAGTGGGTTAGACAACAATCACAACAGTGGGTTAGACAACAATCACAACAGTGGGTTAGACAACAATCACAACAGTGGGTTAGACAACAATCACAACAGTGGGTTAGACAACAATTACAACAGTGGGTTAGACAACAATCACAACAGTGGGTTAGACAACAATCACAACAGTGGGTTTGACAACAATCACAACAGTGGGTTTGACAAAAATCACAACAGTGGGTTTGACAAAAATCACAGCAGCGGGTTATGCAATAATCACATCGCCGGGTTTAAAAACAATCACAGCAACGGGTTAGACAATAATCACGGAAGGGGGGGGGTTGAAAACAATCAAAGAAACTGGTTAGACAACAATCACAGCAGCGGTGGTGTGTGAGAGTTACAGTTATCACTGCTGAGTTTGAGGATTGTGAGGCTCTGATGTGTTTCAGGGGTCAGAGTTATCATGGCTGAGTGTGAGGCTTGTTAGGTGCGTGTTTGTATGAGGGTCAATAATATCACTGCTGAGAGTGAGGGTTGTGAGGCGTGGGGTGTGTGTGAGGGGTCATAGTTATCACTGCTGAGAGTGAGGGTTGTGAGGCGTGGGGTGTGTGTGAGGGTCACAGTTATCACTGCTGAGAGTGAGGGTTGTGAGGCGTGGGGTGTGTGTGAGGGGTCATAGTTATCACTGCTGAGAGTGAGGGTTGTGAGGCGTGGGGTGTGTGTGAGGGGTCATAGTTATCACTGCTGAGAGTGAGGGTTGTGAGGCGTGGGGTGTGTGTGAGGGGTCATAGTTATCACTGCTGAGAGTGAGGGTTGTGAGGCGTGGGGTGTGTGTGAGGGGTCATAGTTATCACTGCTGAGAGTGAGGGTTGTGAGGCGTGGGGTGTGTGTGAGGGGTCATAGTTATCACTGCTGAGAGTGAGGGTTGTGAGGCGTGGGGTGTGTGTGAGGGTCACAGTTATCACTGCTGAGTGTAAGGGTTGTGAGGAGCATGTTTTTTTTACATTTCTCAGTTTTCACTGCTGCGCATTAGGGTTTTGAAGTGCTAGTAACTGTGAGGTGTCACAGTTATCACTGCTGAGTGAGAAGGTTGTGAGACACAGGTGGTAGGGTCACAGTTATCACCCCCTGAGTGTGAGGGGTTGTGATGCACGGGTGTTTGTGAGGATCACAGATATCACTGCTGAGTGTGAAGGTTGCGAGGCGCTGGTGTGTGTGAGGGGTCACAGTTCCACTGCTGAATATGAATGTTGTGAGGCGCGGTTGTTTGAGGGTCACAGTTATTTCTACTGAGTGTGAAGGTTGTGAGGAGTTTGTGTGAGGAGTCACAGTTACCATTGATGAGCTTGAGGGTTGTGAGGCGTGGGTGTGTATGAGGGTCATAGTTATCACTGCTGAGCGAGAGGGTTGTGATGCGCGTGTCTGTGTGATGGTTACAGTTATCACTGCTGAGTATGAGGGTTGAGAGGCGCTGGTGTGAGGGTTTTAGTTGTCACTGATGAATGTGACAACATTCATCAGTGTGCGCGGGAGTGAGGAGTCCAGTTATCACTGCTAAAGTTGATGATTGTGAGACTCATATGTGTTTCAGGGGTCACAGCTGAGTTAACACTGCTGAGTGTGAGGGTTTTAGGCGTGGGTGTGTGTGTGAGGGTTACAGTTTTCACTGCTGAGCGTGAGGGTTGTGAAGCGCGGGTGTGTGTAAAGGACACAGCTGTCTGCTGAGTGTAAAGGTTGTGAGGCGCATGGGATTTTTAGGGTAACAGTTATAACTTCTTTGTGTGTGGGTTGTGAGGCGCTGGTGTGTGTGAGGTTAACACTAATCACTGCTGAGTGTGAGCATTGTGAGGCGCAAGTGACTTTGAGGGTCACAGTTATCACTACTGAGTGTGAGGGGTTGTGAGGCGGGGTTGTGTGAGGGTCAAAATTATCAGTGCAGAGTTTGAGGGGTTGTGAGGCGAAGGTGTGTGTGAGCGGTTACATCTTTCAATGTATAGTCTGAAGGTTGTGAGGCGCGGATGTGCGTACGGGTCACAGTTATCTCTGCTGAGCCTGAGGGTTTTGAGGCGTGTTGTGTGAGGGCCAAAGTTATCACTGGTGAGTGTGAGGATTGTGAGGCACTGGTATGTGTGAGGTTCAAAGCAATCACTGCTGAGTGTAAGGGTTGTGAGGCGCATACGATTTTTAGGGTCACAGTTTTCACTGCTGCGTTTAAGGGTTGTGACGCGCTTGTGTGAGTGTCATAATTTACACTGTTGAGGGTGAGGGTTGTGAGGCACGGTTGTGAGTGTAACAGTTATCACTGCTTAGGAAGGGGGGTTGTGAGGCGCGGGTGTGTGTGAGGGTCACAGTTATCGCTACTGAGTGATAACTGTGACCCTCACAGTTATCACCCTCGGTTGTGATGAGCGGGTTTGGTCCCAATTATCACTGCTGGCCGTTAGGATTGTGAGTCATGGATGTCAGGGTCACAATTATTACTACTGAGTGAGAGGGTTGTTAGGCACTGGTGTATTTGAGGGTCACAGTTATCACTGTTGAGTGTGAGTGTTGTAAGGCGTTTGTGGGAGAGAGGGGTCACAGTTATCACTGTTGAATGTGAGGGTTTTGAGGCGCATGTGTGTGTGTGTGTGAGGGTTACAGTTATCACTGCTGAGTGAAAATGTCATGAGGTGCAGGTGTTTATAAGGGTCACTGTTATCACTGCTGAGTGTGAAGTTGTGAGGCGCACATGTGTGTGAGGGTCATAGTTATCACTGCTAATCGTGAGGGGTTGTGAGGCGCGGGTGTTCGGGTCACAATTATCACTGCAGAGTGTGAAGGTTGTGAGGCGCGGGTTTCAGGGTCACAGTTATTACTGCTGAGTGTGAGGGGTATGTTGAGTGTGAGGGTTATGAGGCGCTGGTGTGAGGGTCACATATTTCACTGCTGAGTGTGACGGTTTTGAGGTGCGATTTTGTGTGAGTCACAGTTATCACGGCTGTGAGGGTTTTGAGGTGAAGGTGTGTTCAAGGGGTCACAGTTATCACTGCTGAACGTGAGGGGGCTATGAGGCGTAGGTGTGAAGGTCTCTGTTATCACTGCTAAATGTGTAGGTTGTGAGGTGTGGGTGTGAGGGGTTACTGTTATCACTGCAGAGCCTGAAGGTTGGGAGGCACAGGTGTGAGGGTCACATTTATCCCTGCTGAGCGTTAGGATTGTGAGTCAGGGTGTGTGTGAGAGGGTCACAGTTATTACTGCTGAGTGTGAGGGTTGTGAGGCATAGAACTTGGCGCGGTTGTGTGTGAGGATCACAGTTATCACGGATGTGTGTGAGAGTTTTGAGGCGCAGGTTAGAGGGAGATCTCAGTTATTACTGCTGAGTTTGAGGGTTGTGAGGCGCGGTTGTATGTGTGATGGTCAGAGTTATCACTGCTGAGTGCGAGGGTACTCAACTTGTGGTACTAACCAAGTTGTGCTTGCGGGGGTTGAGCTTTGGTCCCTGCCTCTCAAATGTCAATCAACTGGTACTCACCTAGTTGTACTCACCTAGTTGTGTTTGCGGGGGTTGAGCTCTGGCTCTTTGGTCCCGCCTCTCAACCGTCAATCAACAGGTGTACAGATTCCTGAGCCTGCTGGGCTCTATCATATCTACACTTGAAACTGTGTATGGAGTCAGCCTCCACCACATCGCTACCTCGTACATTCCATTTTTTAACTACTCTGACACTAAAAATTCTTTCTAATGTCTCTGTGGCTCATCTGGTTACTACGTTTCCACGTATGTCCCCTGGTTCGTGTTCCACCTGTGCTAAGGAGTTTGTCTTTGTCCCACCATGTCAATTCCCCTGGGAATTTTGTAGGTTGTTATCATGTCTCCCCTTACTCTTCTGTGTTCCAGGGATGTGAATTTCAACTCCTTTAGTCTTTCCTCGTAGCACATACCTCTATGGCGGATTTTTACTCCAGCATATAATTAATATCTTCTATGTCGTGAGCCCTGCTCACGACATAGAAGATACTCTGGCTAATCGCTAACTAAAGGGGAATGGGAGGGAAAACTGAATTACCTACTTCCACCATAAATGATGTGGGCTCGTCCTCTGTTGGGGGTTGAATTGAAGCTCCTGGTCCCGGCTCACGACTTGCTGTAGGGAACACCCCCACACACACTGATGCTCTTCCCAGAACCTCAACCAACACCCAAAAGCGCGTCTTCTCCGTACTGCTTCTCTCTGCAGACTCCGTGCTCCTCCACAACCTCTTGAAGGGTTGGAGTCGGTCTCCTGGCCGTCGCCTCCTCCTCACAACTACGTCTACAGT